AGCCATCCCCTCCTGCGCCTAAACCCACCCGATTGCGGCACGTTCCATCACCCCTCGACAGATATCTGCTTCGGGTACCTAGGTGGGCCATGCCAGCAAGTGAGGGCAAAATACGAGTGGACCTGCCTTTTGCCCATCCCCAGAACTGAGTGTTCTCAGAGGCTCTGCAAAATCTGACCACCTGCCGCATTTCGGTAAAATGGCTGAGCCCAATGGTCTCCAAACCATGGGGTGCTCCCCCAGGAGGGGTCAGAGGAATGTTTTGGGGGACATAGCTGGGAGGGAGTAGCATCCAGACCTGCTTTGTCCCCCGCTTTGCCATGGCCCCTGCTCCCAGCCTACGATCCTGAGGCTCCATTCCTAGCCCCGAACCCGCCCCACTCCTGGCCCCTGGGCTGGGGTGTGAATAAGGGTAAGGGGAGGTGTGATTGTGAAAAGTCTGGGGACCATTAGTTCAGCCCTTCACCGTTCTTTGTGGGATTGGGGGAGCGGTTCTTGTGATGCCCACCAGCAGAGAACTTGGAGGAAATACTTGGAGTCTCATGAGATTCCCAGACCTGGCTTTGCAGGCCAGAGGCCTCCACAGAAGAAGTCCCTGAACTCTTGGGGCACCTCCCCACACGGAGGGTCTGCCTACCATCCCCCATCCCCGCTAGCAGGGGGCATCACTAACGAACAGCTCTCCCCAGCACCCCGGCCAGCGCACCGTACCTATGATGGCGTCCCTCAGTTCCTTGGTGATGATGGGCAGGTCATCCACATCCACAAAGTGCAGGTGCTTCTCCGGAGGCTGGCTGGCCGCGGCCGAAAGCTGCAGGTAGTTCCCCCGCCCGGTACTGACGATGAAGACCGTGACCCCCATGTCCTTCAGCAGCTGCATGGGCTGGGAGATCTCATCCGTGGAGAAGCCGTCCGTCACCCACACCAGCACCTTGGGCACATCAGGCCGGGCACCAGCTTCGTCGGTGAAGAACTTCTCCTTGGCATAGGAGAGGGCTTTGCCAGTGTTGGTGTCCCCCATCAGCTGCTGCGTGTCCCGGATAGCCTGCTGCACTGCCCCAGTAGACAAATACCGGTCGAAGGGGAACTCCATGGTGGGCGTCGTGCTGATGTGGATGATGCTGGTCTGGACATCGCTGGGGCTAAAGGTGAAAGGTCGCAGGAGGTCCCTGATGAACTCCTTGACTCTAGAGAACTCGTAGTAGGAGACGCTCCCAGAGCTGTCCAGCAGGAAGAGGAGGTCCCCCTCTGAGTCTGGAATGAAGGGCTGGAGACCTGACAACAAGAGACAGAGAGGAGGTGATGGAGGGGATGTGACCCAAGCTCATCCCCTGCCACAGGAGTCTGGTAGCAGCGCATTTGCTTATCTTCCTTGGCCACATCCTGAGGTCCCCGGGCAGGCGCTCCAAGGGGAATGAGGAGCTCAGGATCGGGCCCTTGTTTATAGGTTCTCTTCTGGTTCCCCTCTGGGCACCGCCCCTGATGCTCAGTTGCCAGCCTGGGCAGGTCATTTCACCCCTTTGCGCCTCCCTCTCCCGGCCTGCGCAGCGGCATTCGTTGTGCTTGTCTGCCCCGTCCCCTGGCCGCGGAGCTGAATTTCTGCAGAGCAGGTCAAGTGCCGCGGTGGGGGGGGAAGGGGGAATGCAAAGCAGTAAGACCCACCGACCTGGGGAAAGGCCGCTTTGGCAGTTTGGACGCCCTGGGTGAGAAAGGACAGGCCGAAGTGGGCAGTTCACAAACGGGAGAGGGGAGGGTTCATGACAACCAGGCTCACGCCGGAGAACCATCGCAGGGCGCTGGCACTACCCGCACAGCCCCGGGCCTGCAGCATAAGAGGTTACACTTGGGGCCTCACTGTAAGCCAGGAAGGGGGAACCTTTTTTGGGTGGGTGGGAGGCCACTGACCAACAAAAAGGTCTGTCGGGGGCCACACACAAGCGAGAAGCCAAAAAACCCACCTCACAGACTTTCCAGCAATTGGGGCAGGAAAGATAATTTATAAAACATATTTATAAATCAATATACTATACATTTTCAGTAAATTTCTACCCCTCCCCACCCCAGCCCCCGCCATTGCTTTCCTGTGTCTGTGATACATTTAATGCGCTGTGCCGATATACACCAGTTCAGAATCTGGTTCTGAATGGATAATATCGTATCTTGGCCCTGCCACGAGGGCCGGGCCTGGACTCGCTGACCTCTCAAGGTCCCTTCCAGTTCTGTGATTCTATGACATGGTCCCGACTGAGAAGCAGACGGACCCTCCCCACATCCCCCTCACACAGCACAGCCTGGGGGGGGGGGACAGGAGAGTAGACTTTGTGGGGGAAACGCTTTTCTGCGCCATCCGGGGAGAGAGGGGGTGGCAGTGAGCAGAGCCACTTCCTCCCCCACCAGGCAGAGCCCATGGATGCAATCTGGCTCCGGCTTCCCTGACTCCAGCCCACGAGGCTCAGGGCTCCTCTTCCTACAACAGGAGCCCTGTGGGGAGAGCTGCGGGGGTGGGGAGGAGGTGTGGGACTGGAGCGCCAACGCAGGCTCCCCAGTGCTCGGGTGGGGGGGGAAGCCCAGAGCCTTGGGGGCTGGATCCAGACAAGCTAGGGGGCCGGATCTGGCTCCCGGGCCTTAGGTTCCCCACCCCGGTCAGCGAAGGTGCGGCTCCATAGCATGCAAAAGGCTGTGCTGCAGCACCACTCCCGTGACCAGCGCCTTCTGCAGAAGGGTTAAAATCAAGCAGGCGGCTGCTGTAAATAGCATCCTGGGCCACCCAGACACAGCGCTGCCGAGCGCCTCTCGCCCGCCTGCTCCTGGCAAAGGCCCACGCGCCACTGCACCCTGGCCTGGCCTCCGGGAGCGGCGTCCTTCTACGGGCATGTTCTGCACGGCCCCCAGGGCACAGATCAGCCGGCCCCGCTAGACTCAGGCCGCCCAGTGCGGCTCCGGTGGCCAAGGAGCCAGGCTCGTGCTGCGCCGGCTGTTTCTCTGCTCCCGGAGACTCCTTGCCAAGTTCCTTTTAAAGTCACATTTTGCAAAGGAACACAAGCGAGGGGGGAGGGGGGAGAAGCCCGTTGCTCCGGGCATTACCCTGGCACCCGCTGAACGTGGTGCTGGGCAGACACACAGGCAGACACGGTCCCTACGTCAAAGAGCTCCTGGCAGTAGCCAGACAGACACGGGACGGGAGAGGAGGGAGGGCCAGAGAGCCTTGTAAACGTCTCACAGTAGGTCACTGACAGCGCCAGGAATAGAGCCCTAACCATTGGGCCACACTGCCCCTAGTGTAACAAGAAAGGGAAAAATGCTCAGCAGTCCTGTCAGATGAGCACAGGCAGCAGGCATTTGGCATGCAGGCTGTGTCTGACCTCACTGTCTGGGGCCCGGACCCCATCCTTCCCACAAGGGGGCCCAAAGCACCTGGAGATGGTGGGAGCGTTCCACCCATGCCAGTCCGGAGACGGGACCCCTGTGCCGTTCTACCGCTGCGGGACAGGGGGCGTTATGGGGCTATTTCATTTAACTTTGGTTCCTCTGCATCTGGCGATCTCCAAGCACTTTGCAGATGCTCTCACCCACGCCATCCCGTGTGACTGATGGAGGCCCAGAGAGGGGCCGTGACTTGCCCAGGGTCAAGCCAGAAAGCGGTGGCAGAGCCAGAAGTCAAACCCCAGCAGCATCCTAGCTGCCGATCTCCTGCTCCCTCCCTTCGAGCTATGCAATCCGTTTGCTCCCACATTGCGCAGCAGGCTGGCCGATTCCTGGCCTGTTCTCACAGGCCTAGCCTAGCCCTCCCTGAGCTTGCTGCATTCCCCCCGCCTGGAGCTGGCACGGGGCTGGGCCCAGGGAGGCTGTGAAACAGCCATGCCAGCCAGACCTACTGTCTTAGCCTCCGGCAGAGCAAGCTCTGGAACCAGAAGCAAACAGCTGGTAAGAAACAGGCAGAGTCCCGGCTAAGGGAATGGGCCTCTGATTTCCCGGGGCGGAGGAAATAAAGCCCATCTTTCCAGGGGAGGGAGGGGGAATAGACAATGAAATAACGAGGTGGAAGACGCTGCCGCTTCTAGATCCCCAGGGGAGGCAGCTGGAGGCACTTGGCTGGGGTTCAAGGCTTGCGGTCAGGGTTGCAACCAGATTCTGTCCCCGGTGGGTGTCTGAGCACCGCGATTTGCACGGGGGATAACAGCAACGTCTGCTCCTAGTGGCAGAGACGGAGGCAGGTCTCTTTCGGTTGCAGTTCATTCTCCATAAGGTGGAGGGACTGATTCTTTCGACACCCAACTGCAATGGGCTCGGCTCCAGTCCTTGCCTGCAACAGATTTAAATGCTGCCCAGCTGATTAGCAGAGCGCCCACAGCCGGCAGTGTGTGTTTCCACTGGTGGTGCACATCTGCGCATGCCTCGGTGCACATGACAAAATTTATTCTGCACAGGGATGGGGAAAATTCTGCACAAGGATGGGAACATTGTTAACAGCCCTTCCCTTGGCTCTCCCACTGTCTCCCTTTGCTTTGGGGCCAGTAAGACTTTCTGCTCCCACCCACTCCTGCTCCCTTCACCTCACCCTCAGTCTGGAGGACAGATCGTGCATGGCGAGATAACGGTCACAGCCCCCCCTCTGCACTTGCAATTGTATTTCTGACCCTCCCCACTACAGCCAGGGCAGTACTGCAGGCGGGAGCCAGGGGGGAGATCTGGCATTTAACGCCGCAGGAGTTGGGGTTCTCAAAAGCCAGCAGGGTGCGTGCTCCCAACTCACCGTCACCTGGGAGGATACACTCCGACTGAGCCCGCCAGGGTCCCAGGCTGATGCGTTCTCTTCCGAGACTGCAGGAGGTGCTCTGCAGATGCTCCCAAGTTTACAGACTTTAGAGATGGGTCAGCCCTCCACAGCCCCGCCCCGAGCTTTAGGGACGTGCGGATCTGGAGCCAACCTTTGTGACTTGATACAAAGTGCCTGCCAGGGCCACCAGCCCGAGCTTGGAGACCCTTCCTGGCTAACCTTTGGCAAAACTCCGC